CCCTCGCACAAGAACTATAAAAGCATCTGTTCAGGAAATGCTTGTCACTCTGTTTATGTCGACAAAAACTAAGCATTCTCACAATGACCAAACTTGTAAAGAGTTTCAAAAGTCTTCCCTGAACATGAAATAAACCACCAGAGAAGAGCACAAAAGTGTGAGAAAGCAACCCTGCTAATTCTGTTCCAAGCAAGGCCTTGGATCAACAATCCAGTAAACTAATACAGGTTGATATTCAGTGATAATATAGGTATATCAGCACATGTTTAGGTACTAAAGACTGCTTCTGTATCCAGTTATCAAATATAAAAAAAAGTAGAACGCAAGCATGCTTCAAGATTTCAGCTACCATCAGCAAAATGTAGGAACTCTTAATCTTTTAAATATGATTGCCTACTACAGAAATTCTCAGATTCATGCTACTATTTGAAGAGCTCAAWGTAGATTCTACAGAATTCAAAATAGCTCAGTACAACATGTTTCACTTCCAAGAAAAATCATATTCTGTACATGACTAAGGATGATTTCTCAGCCTAGAGTGCCAGAGGGTAGAAAAGGAAGGAGGTATTGTGACATGAGTAGAACAACAAGCCTCAAAGAAACATTTTATCAGAAATACTGCCTTCACAGAGGTCTGCATGGACTGGGCCCTGGCATGAGGGAATCAGCTACCAGCCTTTGACTCCTCATCTGAATACCTGGGAACGCTCACAATGAGGTAAAACGCCAAACACAGGATAATAATTACTGTGCTCACATAGTAACACACTGGCAGGGAATTTTCATGTAGGATATTTAAGAGTTCTGAAAAGCCAGGTATGGCATAAACACACAAGGTAGGAAATAGGGGTGAACAAAGCTAAATTGTTCACAGTCATTTCAGGAAAAGTGCTCTAAGCTCTTCCCACTTTTCAACAAGTAAAAAAACTTTAAACAGAATCCCAGGTCTCGTCCTTTTTTTAGATATTAACATCAAGTCACCTCTAGGTTGAACAAATCATGGTAATTCTACTCTCAAAATTGAATGTGCCACCTAGTGAGGTGATAAGAGTGATACAAAAAAACCCCAAACCCCCATCACTGCAAACTGCAYGATAATAATATCAAGAACAATTGCAATCAATTGATAAGACATTAGGGACACATGGTTCCCAGGAAAATGAAAGGAACAGGGGGCTAGATGGTTCATAATGTCAAGTAGAAATGTAATATTAGCCAAGTGCATTGAGGAAAAAACATTAGGTTGGAAAAAATAATCCACTTATTCTTCCATCTGGTTTTCAGTTTTGGCCTCAATTCTAGTTTCTCCATTATACCAACACTGAGAATATARAAAGATGCCATTGTTTTGACTACTGTTTAAGATTCAGTACCATGAAATTATTCAAAATGTTCTCAGAAGCATCCTGAGATCACCTGAGGAGGCTATGACCTTTCTGCAAACCCCTCTTCCTGTTAAGAGAGACAGAAAAAGAACATTTCTGGCATAATAAAAAAAAAAAAAAAANNNNAACATTCATTTGCTCTGAAAAAAACTGTAGTCAGCAGCAAGGACTTGATCAAGGTCCTCACCAACTATTTCCTGATTCTGAGCAGAGGGTCAAGAACAGCTAACAAGCCTGTTCTATAGAGATTGTGTGAATTTCTTTCTTCACACAAAAATCATATTAGAAAGAAGCACAAACTCTTCGTTGGCAAGAACTACTAAAAATTTTGGTAAAATTCAAGAATCATGGTTAAATTTAAGTAGGAAAGAAAAGAGGAAATAAATCCACTGAAATTTCTTTTTTAAACTAGAAGCGTATGCCATTGTACAAATGTTAAGCAGAGTTTACCCAGGCTCTCTGAAAGAACTACTGTGACAATTTCCTAACACTATCTCTCACCTTGTCAGGAATCCAACTCCTTGAGCTCACAAATCTGTACATGACCCTTTAGGGTCAATAAACATGAAAGTTTCCTTCAAGTTAGGAACATGAAAAAGATTCTAAATATTCTAATTACTAAATTCTAGTTTCCACACAGTCCTTCCCACAAATCTGGCAGGAACTGAGCTGCTGCCAAAAATTCTAGTTTAGCAGTTTTCAAAAAAAGAATGAGAAAATCTAGGAACTTTGCCCTCGATGCCTACAGTTACAGATTTTCACTCTGACTTAGAAAACAGCTGCTAAATGCCATTAATCTAAGCCCTTCACTTGCTCTTTTTGAATCCTTCTTTAACTTCTTCCCTTTGCAAGTAACTTGACACAGCTGGCACAAAATTCACCAAGAAAAACAAGATTGTTTTGTAACACAGTCCTGGAAAAGCTGCTTTGCTTCAGTTTATATTTTATAGTTTGTTTCACAAACCCCTAAACCAATTATCCATTGTGCAGTATTTTATTCATGTAGTCCAGAATTTGGCAGAATGCAAAGACAYCCATACAAGAAGCAAAATAATAAAATAATTATTATTAAAAACAAAAGTTATATACATGAATTGGGGGGTATTTTTCAGAATAGCAGCATCATAGCTCATTTTTGAAATCAAAACCCACTAAGATTATCCATGYTAAAGTGACAATACCTTAGCACTCAAACCCACAGGTTTGCAGAATGCCAAGAAAACCTCTTAGACTGCGTGCAATTCTCCAGTGTACTAAACGGCCTACACTAAATGTTCCTCAGTAATTTTTGGCTGAAAATATCCTCTGGTTATGCAAATTTGGATAAAAACACCTTCATCATGTATGTTGATCTGCCTTTTGGTTTGTTTTGGCTTTTTTTACCAACATTTTGGCACATGTTGTATGTTGATTTTCATTAACTTTCTCAAAAACCCATAGRAAGGGRTTGGGTCATTTATTTGTCTTTGTTYRWGTTTTGGACTSTTCTGACTCAAGCAGTCAGTAAAATCAACAGCACAGCACACTGCATCCACACTTCAGACCCTTAAATTTTCAGACCCTCAAAAAATGCAATTCCAAGAAATAAATCCTAAATAATTCTAGTAGCACAGAATCCAAACTACTAACAAACTGAATTCCAGAGGCACTTAAATCYTAAAAAGTCATGACTCCTAAAGGATAACAGGAGTCAGGGATAAGAAGTTAGGGTAGGAGACAAAAATGCTAATGACTTTTACACAAAGTAGAAGTTAAGAAGAACATAGCATAAGAAATTCAAAACATTATTCTATTTTCTTATTTTCTTGAAGCAGAGTCTTGAAGCAGAACACATTCACTCACACACCTGACTTTCACCTAYGAAAGAACCTGGCCTAAATTATTTTGAGAAGGATGGAATGATAGAAATGAAAATTTGTATTAACTGTTGTCAAATTATGATATTAGAACAATTAATGGCATTTCAGGAGCAATTTGGAATATGATTAGATTTTCAGAGAAACTTCACAGCTGAAGTACTTTCTCAATTCACARCACTGTTTCATAGCTTCTTTCAACTACAGTGGCTTGCCAAGGCTATTGTGAGGGATTTGTTCTTTTTGTAGCTGTTAAAAAAATTGTGTGTATCAAACGCACATTCATGATATACCAGTAGGGAGAGGACAAAACACATTTTTCTGCTGAAAAAACGGCCAAATTTTTCTATTGTTTTTCTTAAAATTATTCAATCAAATCAYACTTGAAAAAGGATCTGTGTTTCTAAAAGCCTGTAATTGTTTTACACCTGTTATCAATTGAGCTAAAAGTATTACACCTCTGTCAACCTGAACTCACTACAAGCCTTGAGGTAAAACTGAAACTGCACACAGAACATGTGGTGGCCTAACCATGACAATTTTTGTAGAAGATATTACTATTTTAAGTCTCAAGGCATGATAGATGACAGGAAAAAAAATTAAACAGCTGAATGTACTCATGAAGTATGTAAACAAATAAACAATCCCATGGAACAGCCTTTTGTCAGGTGAGYTCTCTAATTCTCATCACAGTATTAGACAAGTGTTTGGCAAGAAAACAAAATGTGCTCAGAAAAAACACCTTTTATTTGTGTATACAGTTTTACCAGCAGTTTGCTCCATGCCATATTCTACACGCAAAGTCATAACTGTTACAGCAAGATGTAATGAAAATGATCTACAGTTTTAGATTAAATTTATCTGTCATCCTTTTGTGGAACCTGCAGAATGCACTTCAAAAATCTYGCTGTAAGGAAGGATTTAACTACCAGAAATTATTTGAAAATGGGAGTTCAAAGCCAGCTCACTCAAGTAACAAAAACATCTGGACCCCCATTCACACAAGCAGTGAAAAGAAAGACATCTATTTCATAGAATTCACCTACAGCTACAACATTCCCTCTAAGACAAATCACAGCCTTGAAAGGAGCTAAAAATAATATTAGCCACTCAATATGGCCAAAAAGCAGCCAGCCTTACCTGACTATGGTTAATGGCTGCATGGTTCCCATGGAAAGGAGACTGTCTTTCCTTGTCACGGTGATGTCTGCTGCTGTGTTTGCTTCTCTGCAGCTGTTGACGCAATTTTGCAATCTAACAAAGGAAAAGTTCACATTAGATTTCAACAGGTATATTCAGGTACACATGTAATTTCATCCTTTTATTCCATCACTTAAAATTATTTACTACCACAACATTCATAATTATTGTCAGCACTAGATTATACTCAAGTTCTTGCAAATCTGTTAGCTACCAGTTCAGCTGATGCTCAGAAGACACCGCTGGAGGTTTAGTGAAAGGACTTGAAATATATAAAATTTGAAAGTAGTGTGGTCATTACTCTTATTTCCTCCTTTGACAAAAAAATATCACCTGCATTTAACATTTTCTTTCCCACACATTCAGTTAAAAAAATTAATAGGCCTGCACTGTTATATTAAATCAATATCAAATGAACAGCCRTTTCTTATTTTTTACCAAGTCCACCATCTGTATAATTAAACGAATAATAAAATACTCCTGGCTTCCTGAAGGATCTCAGTATCTGTGCATACAAAAAAAAAATTAATCCAAAGGTATCTCAAGTAATAGCATTTCYGACCTCCTTGAGTTGTTCATTGCTGCCCCAGGATGATGAACGTTTGTGTGAGCTTCTCTTCTTTTCTAAATATTCTTCAGCCCAGGCACTTTCTGTCTGTAGGAAGAAGATTATAGGATTAATTAAAAAAGGTAATTGCTACTTTCTGGCAGAATATTTTGAGAGAAATTAGAAAAGAGAACATTTAAGATATACTAGATTCAGAACTGAAAGTGAACAGCAGTAACCAACTAGAGCCTTTCTCACAGGTAAAGTATGAAAAAGCAGAGTGAAACTATATAAATTTAAAAAAAAAACAAACCCACAACTTTCAGACCTACTCTAATATAGGAATGTGCTAGTTTCCCTTCCAAATGACTGAGCCTAAGGCARTACTCACAGCCAGGTGTACCACAAGCTGCTATAGAGCTCTGAAGAGCCAGTATGACAGTGCTGAACTGGGGGGAGATGGTGTATTTTATTTCCTGCACAGATGCTGACCTTGTTATTTCTGATGCAATTAGCAAGGGCAGTTTGGTGTAAATGCTGTGAAAGCCTGCAACAGCACAGCTTCAAAATTCTATTCTTACCCTCAAGAATGAGAAAAAAGGAAAGCAAGGCATAAGCACGACTAGAGCTATTGCAAAGCAAGGTACCAATTTCTTAATGCCTCAAAGGATCCCAGTTTCATAGYTGTCCCAGGTCAAGCAGAAAGCAACGTCAGATAACGTCAAGCTCAATAAACCAACAGAGCCATTAGTGTTTAATAAAAAAATCTCACACACACACTGTGGTGCAAGAGGTCTGAGAAATGCAAAGTATCCTYAAGACAAACTATATTTAAGGTAAGAAAATGCACAGACAAGCCTGTGATAATACTGCATGCTTTATGGGCAGTTTGTATTCCCACCTAGCCACCTCCAGGAATGTCTTCAAAAGCAGTGAACTGTAAAGGCTCTAAGAAGACAGGCAGTAACATCTATCAGCAAACTCTGTGCAGTCACATGAAATACACCTAATGAAGCAAGGGGAGGTATCTCTGGAAGCAGTTTACACACTGAAAGAGACAGCAAATTCCTTTATATTCATCGTTGCCACCATGCAGCTCCTAACATACAGTGCTGATCTAGCTAACATCATTGTTTGGATCTCACCTTCTCCTATAGAGAACTTCCATTGTCTCAAAGTTTTGACATCTACAGTGTGCAGTGGTTGTTCTTATGTGTGACACTAACAGCTTGCAGAAGCCACAAGCTGACCTTACTTAATCTGTCTACACAAACTCATCACAGAAACTCAAGAATTCTGTGATACTAATGTCTATTCTGCAGGGAATATGGAGCCTTGACTGTAAATGAATAGGTTGCAACCCCACCAGTTTCAGTTACAGACATAAGTTTCATGTAAATGAAACCTTCACTATCAGTACTTTTTAATCTTCATCATTCCAAATCAAAAACTAACTAGGACAAATCTGAATAATAAACTTAGTAGGGTTGCTTTGAAATTCTTMTTCCATAGCAAAATCAGAATCCATTACAATCTGTTTTTCTAGAAAAGCACTCACTGATCTTCATCATAAAATAGAATAATTGATAACCCCCATTCCCAAGTACCAATCTTTGTCTAGTCATTTCTCAAATGTCAGTCAGGAGTATCATCCTATCCTCTAGCTCCTGGAACAGTAAGGTTTAGCAACTAAATCTAGCTTCCCAACTCGGCACAACCATTACACTTGCCTACAGGAGAATAATTAACACTCTAATTAGTCTTAATTTATATTCAAGACTTTGACTCAAGATTCAAGAATTRTTGAATAAATTAATATCTGATTAATTTTAAAGAGTTAAGTTGCTTTGATGCTCATCCTCAAAACAAATAGTTAGAAATCTTTTCATACTAAACTAAAGGAAACCTGTACATCAAAACAGAAATGCAATACTATTTTAGCAAATCTCCTCCTACTTATTCTCCACATTTTGTTTATAATACTTACTATCAAGAAATAGACCAAATAATCAAAAGACAGAGTGGRATTTCTATTTTTCTAGGTTCTTGAAGTAGTACTACTTGCTTATTAGTTGTTACTATTCACAACACCCTCCTCCCTCTCTAGAATTACAAAGAAATTAGTTTAAGGCTAAATTTATTACAGATAGTAGAATGCTTCAGGAAAAAAAAATCTTAAAAGGCAAAAACTTTGCAGTCAAAATGATTTCTTAAAGAAATAAAAAAAAAACCCAAAGTAATTGTCTCATTTTAACTTGTAAGCCAAACAGGTTCCATTCAAAGGMAAACAGACAATATTACTAACACCTGTTTTAGGAGCACTTAAAACAACATGAGCCAGACCCTATGCCATAACTCCACAGAATCAGGATACCCTGCTCACCCAACTTGAAAACCTTTTATATCTTTGTAAATTCAATCCCTGTTCTCTAAATGCTTGAAATAGAACATAAACATTTTGTGACAGATTTTGTAAAATCTGATATTACACACCAGAACCAGAGTATCTTACAAATGAAACTTCATCCAAACATGACATTTTCAGAAAAGCTGAACAATACAAATGGGCAGCCTATACTATCTTGGGAAACTGACTATTGTAAGTCACATTTTAAACTTGTCCCTAGCTCCAGCAGTTGCTCTCAGGCCCAACAGAAGATTAAAAGCAATAATATCTCATCAGTGTCATATCAACATCAGCTTTGAACATACAGATATATGCCTATAGCCCTAAATTTTCTACTGGTTTGATAATTTTTAATTAGGAAGTGCAACATTCTAGTTGTCTCAGAAACACACTACCWTGAATCACCACTAAATGTATTCATTCTGCAGAAATATCTAATGCCCTTTACAATCTTCCCATTAAGCTTTCAAACATGTCTCCTCCTATATATAAAAGCCCCAYTGCCACAGCAGATAGATGTGTCAAAATTGAAAGAAAAAGACAAAAGAAAAATGCAAGCTAAAATGATGAAATATGGCAAATACAGAAATTATAGAAGCCCAACCATGACTCAGATTATATCWAAACTAATCTGAATGAGATAGACTGAACATAGCAAACACTTTGACAGCAGTACAGAAATACAATTATTTTGAAAAAAGTATTACCCTAAGAAATCAAATATGAAAATAAATGTAAAGACACCCATATGGGTTTAGTTCTGCCCTTTAATGATATCTTTTAATAGCTAAGCATGAATAGCCATTCATTTGTATATCATATCCCTTCCTTCATCCTCCTCCTCTTCAATTTGCTTACTTTTTCACCCTGTCTTCTAACCAYTTTTCCAACTTATTTTCCTGCACAGAAAACTTGTTCCTCAGCTGAATGCTCTTAATCACCTGTTTCTAATTCCACCTTATCCACACGGGCATATTTCCCTGCAAAACACTTTCCTTCTCTACTTACGCACTCCTTGAATTGTGGTCCTTCCCACAAAGGCAGTGGATCTCCAAAAGGCCACACAGTAACACTGCAGACCTCATGGGCTTAACACCCTACGCGTCCTTAGACACTGAAAACTTTGTGGACACATTTTTGCTACTGTTACCAATGCTAACAGGGGTKCAGACACAACGAGGTCCCGCATGCTATCCGGTCCTCTTCCAACTGCATTGCAGTTATGTTCTTTGGAATTAGAGGAGACCTCTGGTTGAAACCATGTTTCAAGAACAGGGATTTAAAATCTGATACATTTGCCTCTTTCTTTCACTCTACAGATTAGAGAAAGCAATTGCCAGACTGCATCCACACTAGGATATTTTAAAGAACCATACATCTTGAACTACTTCAGCATACAGAATGGATACTATGTAACACCACTCCCTTTCAGGAGAATACAAAAGCAATTGTCATGTACTGACAGCTTCATTCAGCTTTTGTTAATTCCATTTTTACAGGTGGCATAAACCTTTAACCTTGAACCTTAAAAGCTTGTGAAATTTTGTTAAGTTGATGTTTATTGGCAAATTATGTACTTTAAAAACATTTTTCAGTTGAGCTAAATTTCAACACCATTCACAGTTCAACAAAGCAGTTCTTCAATGCATATAATTCTTGGTGCATAGAACCCAGGTAAACCCAAGGGCTTTTACCCTTAGAGGACAAAAAGTTGAACATGAACATACATACAAGGATATACTACTAAGTTCTCRGCATAAATTTAAAGTAAATAGTACTTAATTCCAGTGCTATATAGTGTAATGCACACTGTAAAGCAATAAGGAATACTTATGTACAATGCTCTAGTGTTTTCCTGAGACAAGAAGGAAGCAGAACACCTGAAAGATACTACAGTTCTCAGCCTCTATTTAAAGGWTGTAAATAATTCACATATGCAATAGCAAACGTAGGATTCCTGCAATTTGAAAGTGAATAGGAACTTGTGAGCAAGAAAGCTAAAGTCARTGTTTTCAAGAGAAAAGCTTCTTATATTTAAATCCTGTCTTCACACTTAAATRCTYYAAAGACAAAAAAATCTCTCCCACCTGTGTGGCTTTGTCTCTCATACATGGAGCAGCTTGTCCATGATTATCACGAGGCCACTGTCCAGCAAGATATGGAGCAGCAAGCGTATCCAGTGAAGACGTCCGGCGAACAATACTGGAAGGGCTTGATGAAGGTGGTCTTGATTTGTCTGTTAGAACATTTGATCACAAAGAAACCAAGACAGAGAGTTTATCCATTTAAATAGTCTACAAGAAATCATATCAATTTGGAACTATTATGTTATTAAGTATACAATAAGATACTTTTAATATGGAAATTAAGCTTGCTTTCCCAGGCTCTTTTTAGTATGAATAAGCTTGAAATCTGCATTTATGGTTTYCTTAAAAACATTCTTATGTCACAAATATTGCATTAGTGGTCACACATCACTATTTGCTCCTTTAAAAATCTAACAGTCATTTAATCTAAATGATGAAGGTGTAGAAGAAATAAAAATAGATACGTTTACTCATACATAAAGGTTAATGAAGAACTGTGCTGAACTTTTTCAATTTAATGCTGAGTTTACAGATCATTCCACTAGCCCTTCACCCCTTCACCTACTTTACTTCAAAGGACACTATAAACCAGCATGTTTTAATCACCCAATATATGACATACAGAATAACCCTTGGATTCAGAAGTCAACTTTGATAAGGTAATGATTTACATTTTACAAGCTGAGACATCTCCTCCCTTTACTACTTGGTAACTACATTCATATTTGTCTGGTGTTGTATCTTCTGCAACACCTCATCTGTAATGTTTATATTGGTATCCTTTTTCAGAACAATTTAGATACTAAGAAGAATATTTACTAAAAAAGGTTAAATACAACACCCACAAGAAGTAATAAGAAAAGAAAGGATATGGTTAAAAATGAAAGTTTCTATCTATCCCATCTGTCAATGACATCTTGGGTAACGTGGTAGTAAACTACACTGCAAGCTATGAAGAATAAACACTGAAGAAAATTTCATCAARACAGTAATTGAGGTTGTTAAGAGACTTGATAATCAGCAAAGACCTGGGGTTTAGACATACATACATGCTCACACATTTTGAGATGTAAAATGCAGATCCTGAGATCACAGTGATCTAAGCTTACTATCAACTCATCTACTCCCCACAAAAAGAATTTCAATTATACTTGAAAAAATTGTGCATTAATCTTACCTATAATGAATAGAAAGTCCTAAAATACATGGCTAGAACACAGTAAGCATGGTTCAGAAATCAGATGGAAGCTTTATAAAAGGGGACTAGGAACATTCAGTTATGTCATCCCTCACTGCACTAGGATGATTCTGCACTGAACAGTAACATAGCAATTTGTATCATACATAAACTCATGTACAAGCAAAGGAAATAGTGCCTGATTGGTGTCTGACTGCTAGTAAGAAAATAAAAGCACCGACATCGAAAGTCCAAAATTCAGTTTCTAAGGTGCTGCAGTTTACTAAAAATACATGTGATAAATACTAATAAAACCTGTTAGGTATAGATTTCAATGGACTGGACAGCACCTTAGTCTTGCAACATTCTATGCTAAATATCCTCATGCAAATTTATTAGAAATGTCCACACTAAAAATGTGGGAAATATTTCAATTCAACTATAAGGAAACAATTATTAGCATTATAATCAGCCAAAGCAGCCGGGAAACCTCCTCTGGTTTATTATTTGTACAAGTACTAACAATAATACCACATTACTACCGAGCTCACAGCAGATTTGCTCTCAGGGTGTAGCAGCAAATGTTTTGGAGTTTGCACTCAAGACTCCAGTATCAAAGCAATTCTCTGACTATTATGACCATCATACAGCACACTGAAGGGTCTGTTTCTATCAGAAGACTTCAAAACAATTCCTTTTGCATGTACTATAGGACAATGCGGCATACTAATGCAACGTGTCATTCCATAAAAACTATGCTTGTTTTCAAAGATAAATCAAACATGTTATTTGTCTTGGAATTAGCTGCCATAACCTCCCTGTTTGTTTTTCTTCTCAGTTATTATTCTTCCTCTTCAAGAAGCTTCTCTCTTTTTACCAAGGGGAAACAGAAAGGATGTGAAAAAAAGAAAAATTATTAATCAGGAAGTGTACATAGCTACACCATCTGCAAATGTACACATCTACATCATCTGCAAAGCCACTGCAGCAGACAGCTTCAAAACTGGAGAAGCAGAATCTATTAYTCTGTCCTCTCTGCTACAAAAAACCAAAAAAACCTAAACAAGCTGGAAAGACTATTTTGCTGAACATACAGAGAGAATGAGAACTTACAAGCCTGTTTACAATTTAAGTTCAAGGGAAGTTTACTATTTAAGTTCATTTCAAGGCACAAAGCCTGCAAATACTCTCTTCTCTGATTTAAAAATTCATTCAAGAAATTTTGGTTTWAAGTTACTTATATTTATATGGGAGAATGATGCTTGATTATGTTTTYACTTAATTTTCCACCTTCACAACCTGCCTTTATACAAATTGGCAAAGTCTACTACACGGTTCTTCTTACTGTTTCAAAACATTTCAATGGAAACATATACAATGTTTTCATTGCACTTTCCCCTACAATACTTGAAGCAAGTGTTCAGCTGCTATTTTTCCTTGATGTGACCTACATAACAAGAGATCTGCCTCCATAGAGATAACAGTTACAACAGCTGTGGCTGATGAAAAACAATGGAGCTGTTTCATCAAATAGACGCTTCTGAAATATTAGATCTCTTTTAATTGGCCTGATTATCTCTCTAAACCAGTATTTGTGATAAATATCAACCCTCCTATCCATCCACCACTTGTATAAATCTATTTGGAAAAAGTCTTTCTGCAATTTGGTCTCAAACAAATCAAAGCAATAGAACAAAAATAAAAAGAACATATACAGTACAAATCAATGAAATCCATAATATGGGGAAATAAGAAGCAAGTTGCCATGTCTTCACTATTCATTGCTGCACAAGTGACTGGTGGAAGTTTCTACAGGTGACCTGGTATCACACATATACATATATATACACACCTATATTGCAGAGTAAAGCCAGGGAGCTCCAAAGGCAGTGTAGGCTCTGGCACTGTAACAGTGGGACTGAAGAGCAAAACTGAACAAGTATAGATGCYTCCCAATAACTAACTGAAAGGTATGAAAGAAACATCACCTAACACATACTGTGAAAAAACAAGCAGCAGAAAAGCCTAAGACACCACTGAACTCACCAAATTCCCCAACAGCTCAGTTTGAGGCCTTTTTCATATAAGTGGGCTATCCAAAGTGGTGAAAAGGAGTCAGACCCAACTCGCTTCAAGACCCAACACACTTCTCTGGMATCAAGGCATATAGCTGATCTTTTCATTCTGTTCTGTCCTTTTCCCCCAGAAAGGAACTTCATGGGATATCTTCCATGCACAGCTGGCACAGCCATCTTTTCCAAAAACACAACTGATCTCTGGGGCTTCACCTACTCTTCCTGTTTCATTAAAAGAACTGAACAGACTCRGAGCACTATGAACAGACACAAAACCCAACTGTGTATGCTCCCTTTGGAAGACAATCCTGGCTATCATCCTCACATAAATTTAAAGATCACTATTCACCAGTAATTCAAAATTGTCCCGCTGTTGAAGAATGACTGAATTAGTGGTGTTTTGCAAAACCAAACCTCAGAAAGCTCAAGATGCCTAAGTTTCTTAACTCTAGTAAATGAAAATATTTTWAATCCAAATAAACTACCCTGAAGTGCTGGCCACAAGAAACACACAGTATGATGGTGAAAAAATGAATTTACTTTCTTTACACCTACCATTTGTTAAACAACTTAGGTAAGCAGAGGAAGAACGTAACAGTACATAAAGCCTTCTCTCTTATGCTACAGTAATATCTTTCAAAACTACTGYAAAACCTTGGTAATTAAGGTTGACAGRTCTGYAGCTATTCTTGCATCAYWCACCAAATTATTAAAATTTACTCTRTGRTGARATTTAAGAGYGYAATGGAGTTCCATTTCTTCCTTTCTACCTCCAAGGAAAGGTTCACATCTGATCKCTTTAAGACTTCATATACTATTTTCATCATATCCATTCACACAAGTAAACTTTAATGTTATTCTTCCATAGACAAAATAATGAAGTTTTGTTCCAGATAAAACTAACCAATTTTTCTCAATTTTCAAAATGAGTTTAGATGTCCAGTACAGTAAATTGGAATATACTAGAAAGTCCAGCATCCAGTAGAGAACACTCTCACTACTGCAAGGCACCTGAAAGTAAACAACTGCTATGGCTCTGGTCTTGACCTTCTTGTTTACACAGCCTGGTACACTGTAACATTTTTTGCTGCTGAGCAGCTCAACTCCTCTAAGTGTTTTTTCTATAAGGACACAAATAACAAGATCCCATTAGATCTTTATTCAGTGAATAAACCAAGGCAAAACCAATGAAGATAGAGCATACTCATTTCTCCATTTCATGTTGCAATTGTGTACCAGTAGGTGAAAAAAATGTCCCCTAACAGGGGGTTTGCAGACAGGTAAAGAGGCATATGTGAAAACTGAASCAAAACTGGAGATTGCAGGACAGATATTGCAGTGTAGAAATGAGGCCACACCAGTGATGGGAAGGGCACATTAACAGGCAATTAGAAGTTGAATTCTGGGAAATAAGTGCTAGAGACTACAGAAAAGAAAAGTAAAAGATGAAAAATGAGTAGCAGGAAGACCTAAGTTTCTGGTCATATTTAGGAGGGAGGGAGAGAAGTGACAAGAACAGSATGGAAAATTAGAAGCTGTATGACYGATTCTTCCATTTGTATTTATCCCACAGTCAACAGAAAATTCAGATGAATATTTGCAACATTTAAYTGCAATTCTGATCAAAAAACAAGGCTTCCAAAAACCACACCCAAACCCCACAAAAGTCACATTTGTAAATTCACAAGTTAGAGCTCTCAAGTGTAAAGCAGATTCATGAAAACTAAGTTCAAAACTATTCAACTGCTTCCCTGAAAAGAGAATCTGAGTAATACGAAACTAAGTCTGAAGTRTACAACTTATATTTAGATACAACTTAAACTTAGATACAACCAGTATCTAAACTCAGAAAAAGCTATCATTTGTCTAACCTCAAAGTCATTTTAATCTAAAAAAATATGCCTGCAGCTGTAGGAATGAACAAAGCCCATCATTAACTGAAAGTAAGAGACAGAAAAACCCAAGTTATTCTGCAGCAGATTCTAACCAAGAGCCTCAAGTGCCCTCTCTGCACAACCATTTCCTCACTAACAAAAAAATTCCACCTCCATGTTCTCAACTAACACTGTGTTTTCTCATGTAGATGAAGAAAAAACCTGAAGTTAACTCCACCTCTATCAAACACTAGACTGCACAATACAAATGTTAAGCAATATTAAAGTGGTTTAGTCTGCATTTGGGGCCAATACAAGTACTACTCAGAAATTTGAACATGTGGAAGCAGTTAAATGGACACCATTCTCCTGTTTTCACACATCTTATTAAAAAGCCAGTGGAGTTATCTYAACATAGTAGAGTGACCAAATGACTTGTTTCCATCTATATTTCATTCTTCAAAGTAGTAAAGAGGTCAGCATGGTTTCAGCAGGCTTTTCTGTGGTAACTAAAAGACAATGCAATTTTTCCACCCTAAGTGGTCTGACATATGCCTTCACAAACAGTTTTTGGACTTGGGCCTCGAGGCTAACCATGCTGTTCCCCATTCTGTAGGCCAGGAGATTGCCCCTTAAGCAAGACTTCTGTAAATTCACAGGAAGAAGACAGGATTTTGTAATGTGTATAAAGTCTTTCAGATAACTGATTAACAAGAATCTCAAATGAAGAATACACATATTCTTCGACACAAAGCCTTAGAATATAGCATTAATAAAACCTCATTACTCTTACCCAGAAAGTGGAAAATCCAACTTAGAACATTATCAGTASTCTCTTACACTAGCAGACACACAGTCACCTTGTACCAACTGGTTATGACTGTCTCATTTGGCAGCATCATTCCTCAAGAGCCAGGACAGGAAAACAGAAAAAAACCCAACGTGGTAGCCTGGTTATAATCACTATTTTAGAAAGGGGGAGTAGCATTATGAGAGAGGAGTAGTCCTAGATTTCCACATATACACTTCTGCATATTAGTCAGCTTTATTGTTTAGATTACCACAGGCATTTCATGAAAAAGGGTAGCTGCAAGCTTTGGTATCTTAAAAGCAACTCTTCTTTTTYCCCCAGATTTGAGCACATGAACACAAAGCCTCGCTCATGCACTTTCGAGTAAACTTTTATCCCAAGCAGAAAAAAGACTTACATATGTCAGCCTCTATTATCCTCAACTTGATGCCATGTGTCACTTAAATTCCAGCATTCCTAGTAAGAATTACTTACACAAAAACTTTAAACAGCAGTTTGTTACAAAACGTATGTTATCTCCACGCTATTTTCTATCTTCACTGTAGCACAAGATTGKCATCACTCAAGCACAGGCATCCTTCTGCAGGATTCATGTTAAAAGCAACTGAGAGAGATCCTGAATACTTTTGTTCCACTTCTATGTGCCATGCCTACAGCACTAGTTAGCTCTTCAATTGTAACCTTAGGGACACYGTTTGGATCACAACCACAAACACCATCTTGCACGAGGTGTGCAGAAAGGGTAGATGTGAAGGTTTCACAACAGCCCCCCGAACACCAAACTCACTTCAAATTTGTGGCCAAGTACCTTAAATACATCTACACCACTGCACCCTTCTCATCTGCCAACCCGAGGCAGTACTCGCAGTACTACAGAAGCGGTCACAATCCCCACATGGCACGCTTGGCTCTCTATCCCTCTTCTGAAAGCCCCGGCGCAACAGAGCAGCAACAAAAGCAAGGAGCCCTTCCACGCACACACAGCGGGCAAGCCCTGCCGGCAGCCAGACAAGGGGCCGGGCTGTGCCCGGGCTGTGCCCGCCCTGCCCGCACCTCTGCCCCGGGGCACGGCGCGCTCCGAGGCACCGCCGGGAGGAGGCACCGCCGGCCCCAGCCCTGCGCACCGCGCCCGGCCCGGCCGCCCGGGACCTGCCCTTTGCCGCTGTCCCGGACCCCCCGGCGCTCACCTTTACACACGGGGGAGCTGGGACTCTTCCTCTCCGGGGAGCCCTTGCTCGGCTCCGGCGACTGCCGCCGGTGGTGGTGCCGGACCCTGCCCTCYGGCAGCGGAGACACCGGCGAGGAGCAGGGCGAGGGCCCGCAGCCCGGCGGCGGCGGCGGCGGCGGCAGGTGGTGGTGCCGCGGGGGGCTGCCCCGAGCCCCGCCATGGCCACGCGTGGGGCTGCCCCGGGAGGAGGCGGCGGTGCAGCCGCTCCCCGCTGCCCCCGGCGGGGCCGTG